CATGAATATCAAAGCAATTTTTCATCATGAATATTTCATCACTGTATGCATCAAAATAATATCATGAATGTTTCATGCATTCATATCATCATATGAAGAATATCAAAAAGAACTTGATGATGAGATATACTTCATAAATTCAAAGAATTTTACATAAGAAAATTTAAGTCATAAACCTTAAGAGATGTTATGAGAGAACACATAAATGATCTTGATTCATGTATAATATCTCTTAATTCATTATGAATCATAAAAATTATAATTCCAAAAAATCAAGAGAAATCGTGATTCATTTTAACAAATCTCCTCTTAAATAAATAACGTAAAGAATTCTTAGGAGATCATGAAAAATCTTGATTCATATAAAAGATTTCATGAGAGATTATGATTTCGATAAAACTCATTCAAATTCATCAAATCATTTTCATAGTCCAAGAGATTCACAAAAGCATAATATATATGGATTCATTAATCTTTTATCGAAAAATCAATAAGATAGAGATGTTTCATCTTAAGTTATTGGTTTCATAAAAGTATACGTTTATCTTTTTATTGCAAATAAAAATATGCATCAACTTTTAGGATCGAAAAGTGAATTTCGTCATAAAAACCATCAAGACCAATAAATCACAAAAATCATGTATAACTTTAAAACCTCATGCATAAAGTCATCAATCATGGTATCAAAATATTTAATATTTTCATTACATCATTATGCATTACTTCAAATCAAACATGATTTCATTTAATCAAAATCGAGAAATAACATTGGAAATCAACATGATACACATTATTACTTCTTAAAAAAATATTTATAGGATCATCATTAGATTTAAATCTAACATTTTATTCCATTAACATAAAACATATAATTTCATTATCATTTTCAAAATTACTAGCATGATCATAATTTTTACATTTTCATTTTTAAACATGCAATTTTCAAGAAAAAATAATTCTAAACTAAATTAAAAAAAATGTATCATGAAAAGCATCATGTAATTTCGAGTAAATTAATGGGGTTTCGATTACCTCATCGTCAAAAGTTGTTAAGGCATAGTTTGCCACTTCGCCTTTCTTGAGTTTCTCCTTGTCTTCGGAGGAGCTCGATTCATCCTAATTTTTGTTCTTCTTCTTGCGTTCAAAGCAAGTAGTTACGTTCTTTTTGTTCTTTAATTTTTATTTTATGAACTTATTAAATTTCTTAGTGAGTTCAAGTTCACCACCACTTGAGTTTATGCTCGAGTGGTCTTCAAATGTTTTAAGTTCGAAATCCTTCATATTCTTTGGAAGGTGGTTCTTGAGTTCTTCCCTGCATTGTACGTCATTTCATAGGTCATCAAAGATCTTATTAGTTTTTCGATCAAAAAAGTAATTAAAATTTTTGATTCTTGAATAGTAATTACTTTTGAATCCCAAGTTTT